TGTTTTAACCCAAGTGAGCAATATGTCTGCCGCCAGAGTCGAATAAAGCTTCCTGTCCAGCGTACTGCCCACTGGAATCAGGGTATAAACTATAACTTTAATTAGGATCTGGTCATGGGTAGCCATATAATTTATTATTCTAAATCATACAAAGGCATATATATGTAAAACAAAGTGTTCTCTGGACTGAGTCATCTTTGTTTCATCATAGTTGAAATTTTAAGTTTTACAGTTTAACTGGACTGCTATTTCTGCAACTATGTAACCATGTGAAATTTTAAAAGAAGCCAGATACTTTATTCTTGCTTCAGTCTCCATGACTTAAATGACATGGTGTTGACAAGAACCTTCAGTTTTCGAAATTCTCCTCCCTTGTGACTCAGCATAATGGCTTGTTATATCACTGAGTACAGAATGTTTACCTCTTTATTATTCAAATTTATGAGGTAAAACATGGCTTTTTCACTAAAATGCATATACTAACTACTCTATTATTTCAAAGACATCTAGAATTTCCACCATAAAAAGATTAAGTATATTTAAGAGGTATGAATTAATTCTAGGAATAAATGATTCTTATTTGTTTCATTAAGAAATTTCTTGAGAAAGTGAAATGAGTAAGTATGTATCACTATTTTCTATTAGCTTCATTTTGGCTGTCCTGAGAAAAAACAAAAATACTATATTCTAAAAAGTATGCTTAAAACATTCATAAAGCCAAACTATTGATATTAAAACATGGATATATGCAAAAAGTCTGGTAGAAATATTCAGAGAAGAGTGCTTTCTGATAGGGCTCTAAGAGGCACAGTAAGGACATGCATTTTCCCTCAAGTGGACAGATTCCCTAGAGACCCAAACACTGGGTCTCAAAAGTCAACAGAAGCTGCTTTAACGTCATCATGATGATAAAAATGCTATTACACACTTCCAATGACCAAGAACTAGAACTCAGTGGTATCGAAGCAGATGCTGAGACTCATAGAGAAAATTTGGGCAGAGTGCAGGGAATCTTATGAAAGAAGGGGGAGATAAAAGACCTGGAGGGGACAGGAGCTCCACAAGGAGAGCAACAGAACCTAAAAATCTGGACACAGGGGTCTTTTTTGAGACTGATACTTCAACCAAGGACCATGCATGGAGATAACCTAAGACCCCTGCACAGATGTAGCCCAGGGCAGTTCAGTCTCCAAGTGGGTTCCCTAGTAATGGGAACAGGGACTGTCCCTGACATGAACTCAGTGGCTGACTCTTTGCTCACCTCCCCTTGAGGAAAGAACAGCCTTACCAGGCCACAGAGGAAGATAATGCAGCCAGTCCTGATGAGACCTAATATGCTAGGATCAGATGGAAGGGGAGTAAAACCTCCCCTATCAGTGGACTGGGGGAGGGACAAGGGAGGAGGAGGGAAGAAGAGTGAGATTGGGAGGCGAGGAGGGGACTATAGCTGCGATACAAAGTGAATAAATTGTAATTCATTTAAAAATAAATTAAAAAAGAAAAGAAAAAGAAAAAAAAAGAAACCAGAGTGCTAGGTACAGTCTTGGCCTACAATCCTAGTCACTCTAAATAAGAAAATATGATAGGTAGTATCAATTGTCAACTTGACTGGACCTACAGTCATCTAGGAGACAATCCTTTGAGGCAGAAACACCCAGTGGAAAAGTGGGTGGTGCCATTGCTTGGGCGGGATCTTGGGTTGCATTAAAAAGAAAGTCAGCTGAGCACAAGCATTTATAGTTCACTTCTTCCTGACTGTTGATCAAATATTCCTAACAGCTCCATTCTCCTGCCTCCATGCCTTCCCACCATCTTGGACTACTTTTAGTACATCAATCCAGAATAAACCGATCCATCCTTAAGTTGCTGTAGTTGGGTATTTTGTCAGCAACCAGGAAAGTAACTAATACAAGGGAATATCTAATCAGTGACTGGATTCACCAGTCTACATCTCTCCAATGATGGAGCTAACATGGATGATGCAAAATTTCCCACAAGGTGATTAAAGTCTGGCCTCTGGGGAAGAGAATAGAGGGTTAGAGTAGCTAGGAGGAACTAGTAGTCATTTTTGGTATCTGATCAAAAGCACTAACTAAAAGTCTGTTAAAAGCAAAACCAATGTTTGAGCACTGTTTACAAACTCAAAACAAGACACAAAAGTATATTATTGAGTCTTAAAAGGTTTAACTCATTGGGATGATATATCTAGTCCATCAGTTTCTCTCCTAAAAATTGAGAGTTCAGTAAAGGAGGGGAGAGTTCATATGAATAGTTTTAAGAAATACCAGGTCATTTTGTACACTCAACATTTATGATGAAAGAAATAGAATACTTCCTACTCTAATGCTTTCTCTATTCAATCGTAGCATGTCTAAAACTGGTACCCACTTTTTGAGGGTTATTTGAGCAAGGAAAATAGCAAACTCTAAAGTCTTCTATTTGAAAATCAAATCAGGAAAACAGTTACCAGTGAAGACAATCATGCTATTCTTTAGCCTATTAAATTAAATTAAAACATAAAAAAATCTTTCACATGAACTCTAAAAAGAGAATCAGGTAATGACTTTACAGTTGTATGAATTAAGCATAAACAGCCTCTCTTTGTCCAAAATGAACACTGATGCAAGAGAAATTTTACACATCTAACATTTATCTCAAAATACAATTTAACATTGTCCTATAACATTAATTTTCTTCACTTGCTTAAGTATCTGACTATGCTTTCATAGACATAATCAGTGAGATCTGCAATGAACCACAGCTTACATAAAAAAAAAAAAAAAGCAACAAGTTACTCAGCATTCCATGTTTTGGTTTGATTTCTAATAAAAATGAAATGGCTTGTGATGTACCTATTTGGATAGTTAAATGGGATAAGAGACTCTTTGAAAGAAAGTCTTTAAAAAAATATCTCTGCTCCAAGCCTTCCTTAGTAAGACATGGGAGAAAGTAATTATCTGTCCTTAAAGAAAAATAGGTGGTTTCAGTATAGCCTCCACTTACGCTTTAAATTTTGCCCAATCTAGAGGACTGATCACTCAATAGCTTTCCTTGGCTTCTCAAAATGGTGACATCAAAAAGGTTGAAATTATTAGATTTAATACAAACATTTCCCAGCCTTTCCAAGAGCCCCCACATGGCCACACTCCCTTCTCTGTGCAGTCTTAAGGGGTGGGGAACTGTTGAGGGCACAAAAACTGTCATGGAAGAGTACTTCCTGTTCTACCTAAGCAGTACCAACACTGAACCAATGGAGGAGAGAAAAATGGGCTTAATTCTCATTGCTCAACAAACCAAAGAAATAAGAAAATAATTCAAGTGCATTTAAAGTACTCTAAGCTAAACAAATGTAAATTGTAATCAATAACACTTTGCATTTGTGAAGATCACAATAATTTTTACTTTAAAATCAATCCTGCTAGGGTAGATACTAGATTGGAAACTTTACAAGTGAGAAGCGGTTGAGGATCCTCACTGAGGAAAACTAACCTTGCCAGCTTCCTTCCTGGCAGGCATTGTTAACAGCAGAACAAGGGAAGCATGCCTCCTGAGGAGTTATGCGGGAAGCCTGGCACAGAGAAGGAAAAGCCTTCTTTGTTTTCCCACAGAATGTTTGTTCTGCTGAATCACGTGGGCCCAGAAGCTCTGAGGGAAGACGCGACTTGCAGTAGTTACCTGTGTTATCATTAAACATGGACTCTACAGTAGGTGTTTAGAGAGATTTAACATGCTTCAGTGTTGGAAAGAAGCAACAGAAACTTATTCTAAGCATCACCATTTCTTTTCCAGACTCCATTTAATCATAGGGAGAAAGTAAGTTCAAGGTCCCAGGCCCTAGGAGAGCCGGGGACTTCCCAAGAGTTGCACAGCTTCTGTTTGTAAGGAAACAGTTGTCTCAGTCCAGCCATCTTAGGGACAACTTGTAAGGAAATAGTTGTCTGAGTCCAGACATCTCAAGGACAACCTCTCCATCTTGCTGACAGAGTCAACTAAGTTCATGTTCCCAGACCCAGGAACCTACTCCTATCCTGACAGATGGAAAGCCCCTTGCTCAGTCCCTTATGGCAAAATATGATCGGACAATAAACACGACAGACCACCCTGCTCCCCCTCATTTTATGGTTTCATCCCTTAACTATGCTGTACAATGTCCCATTCAGCTCCAGAGTCTGTTCTGGGGCCCTGATTAATCAGTAGTGTCTTGATTATACCAATTTTTTGTCACCTGCATTGACCTGTTGTTTGAGTTATGTCGTATTTAAGTAGACCGCACAATGGCGATAGCCTACTAGGAGAATCATATCTGAAAGCCTTTCCTGTAATGTGTTGCAGCTTCCAGAGAAGTTCTTTAAGATCCAGTGGAAGGCAGTATGTCGCAAAGCCCCTTTTCCTAGTCTTACACATATAAAGCAATATCTTTGGGTTCAGGGATTCAACAAGCATCAGGAAAATGCACCACTAACCAATAAAGGACCTATTCTCTACAAATATTTTGGCTTTCAGAGACTTCCTATTAAAAGGAAAACAGGAAAGAGTATATGGGCGTTAAAACACAGGAGAGGGAGGCCTGAGCAGGATTAGTGGAAACTGGAGTTACAGCAGCTAAGCAAGTTAAAGGACAGCAGTGAAGGCTAATCGCCAGCCTAGGGTAAGTCCTGGGGAGTGGGCGGGACTGAGAGTTTCAGGATAACAGGACACGCTGGCAGGGTGCGCCCCGCGTTGCTGGGCAACCGAGGAGGCCACGCCCACCCCACCCCAGCCCAGTCCTTCTCTCTGGGCCCCAGAAGCAGAGTGGTGAGAAAACGAGGCCTGCTGGACTCCGAGCCCAGCTCCCCCGGAGGGGCCTCTCGATGCCCAGGCCCAGCGCCTGGGGCCGTCCCCAGGGCCGGAGCTCCAGTCTCTCCACGGGGCTGGGGGACCCTGGCAAAGCGCGCTTCCAGCCCCGGGCCCGCGTCCAGAGCGCGGCGACCCCAAACCCCCCGCCCTCGTCGGAAACACACCTCAGCATAGCCCAGAGAGGGCGGCCCAACTGCGGGTCCGGCCGGGTGGGCAGCTGTCCACGCTGCTGTCACTCAGAGGCAGGGGCGGGACGAGGAGCCGCACGCCCCTAACTCGGGATTGAGCCGACGGGAGGGGCGGGGCCAGCGCCCAGTCTGCACTCTGATTGGCTAGCCCTCCCCGGAGAGGCTTCAGTCTGCGCGCGCCCTTAGGCCCATCCTTTATGTACCCTGGAGCTCTGAGTACTCCTGAGGGTGCTGAAGTTAACAGACAGGAGCCTGGCAGCTTCCACAAACGTAAAACAATAACCAAAAGTTATTTTAATGAGTGACCGACTCCCAGCTTTTACGCGCAAACAGAGCCACATCCAGTCAGGTGAATTTCCAATGTCCTGAGAACATTCAAGGAGCAAGGGGTGTGGGGGGACAAAATAAAAGAAAATGAATGGGGGGGGGGGGAGGGGGGGCTCTTTTTTTGTTGTTGTTTTTACTTTTATCTTTTAATATGAGAGTCAATTTAGGAAAAGTAATTCCTGAAACATGACTGTGATTGCAGATGGTTCAGGAACTTACTTTTTGAACCTGTAAAACAAGAACAAATACCATTTGGAATGTATTTGAGAACTGACTGCTTTCTAAATTATGCTTTTTACAATCCTGACAAAACCTCCTGAGAAATAGTAATATCCACGGTGTACGACGCATAGAGTAGAAGCAGTTAAGTTTATTTTACTCACTGAGCAAATCTAAGGGTCAGACAGTGATTCTTTTTATAGTGATGTAGACTAAATTTTAGATTCTGACTGTAAGAGTCAGAGGGGATGGAAGACATCAGGAAAACGTGGCCCGCCAAACCAACCGAATCAGCAATGGCTCTCATGGGCTTACGAAGACTAAATGGAAATCACAGGGTGTGCATGGGCCTGAACCAGGTCGTCTGTGATCGTGTTATAGCTGTTACCTTGGTATTCTTGGGAGACGCCTAACAGTGGGAGTGCATGTGTCTCTCACTCTTTTACCTGCTCTTGACACTCTGTGCCTTGCCAAGCCACAATATGAGGTATTTCGCTTTGTCTTACTGTGTCTTCTTCTGTCTACTATGGCTGTTGTCTTTTGGAGGACTGCTTTTTCCTGAAAAAGAAAAAGATCTAAGAGGGATGGTGTGCCTAGGAGAAGTGGAGGGAGAGGAAACTGTGGCTGGGACGTATTGTATTTCAATAAAAAAGAAAAATATTAAAAATAATAAAGAAAATACTTCCAAGTGTAATTTTCCTGGTGTGCTACCCTCCTCTAGCTAGCCTATCACGTCACTTGTAAGAGGCAAAATACCATACAAAAAGGTTGGAGACACATCTAAATAGGTTTCTTTGAAATCTTCTACGATATTATCCTGAGAAATGAAACCGAAAATATAATTTTATTTTCTGTACTTCTAAATCATTTTCTGGTATCCAGTATCTTTACACTTAAACAAAGACAACTGAATAAGATTATATTAATGTTCTTAACCAGGCTTGTGTGTGTGTGTGATGTGTGTTGGGGGGGGGACGACAATGAAGCCCTTTTAAGCTATCCTTTATTAAATAAAAAAAAAAAACAGGAAATGAGTATCTTGTCAGATAGAATAGTAGAAAGAAAAATAAATCCCTCAAAATATACACTTGTTCAAATAAAATGACCACCATGTTGTGACAAAATTATTGGAAAAAGGAAACATTCCAATTGCAAATGATTTTTTTAACTTGCTGAACTTCCAAAATCTTCTGAGAGCTTGCAACTATGAATAACTCTATCCAAAACTTTTTTGATGTGTGTGACTTATGCTCCCATTTAAGCTTCTTTAATCTTTTAAAAATATTTGAGTCTGAAAGAGTTATGATTGTGTAATAATAAGCACATTGTTGTAAATAAATACTGTTAGCTTTAAATAAATGCGTAGAACTTCTTTGAGCCATTTTTCAAATGCATATTCAAATAGAGAGAATGCCTTTGTTTGAATTTTTCACGTGCATAAAATATACATTTAAGTGAATGTACTGTAAGCATGTAAATGTGTTATCTTTGGAATAAACACAGCTGTATGTGCCACATATGGATCGCTGCAGATGTTTGAGGCATTCATTCTGATTGCTGGAGCTCTGCACCTTTTTATTTAGTCACACATCCAGCAGAAAACATTGTGCTCCATATGCAAAGAGCGGGAAATAATGCGGCTCTGCCACTGAATTCCCTACTGTGAATACGCTCATGAGATAGGCTTGGTTCAGCTCCTTACAGGATCAGCACTTACTCCTGTTGGAGCTGGTATTGGCCACTGTACAGCAGATAACTCTACCACAAAGTAGCTTCACAACAGTCTTTAAAAGTAACTATGCTAACATAGTTGTCTCCAACTAACTTAATACTTCCTACATTTTGAGTAGAAGCATTTGATTTTTCTCCTCCAACAGTTGCAATTCCTGCACAGACACAAGGTATTTTGGAAGAATTTATATGTATGAGATGTAATATAACTGACTAAGTGCCAAATTATACATATATTTTAGAGACAAGCAACTTACAGGGTCAGAGGTTTGACCCATTATCGTCATGGCTGGGAACACAGCAGCATTCGGGAAGGCATGGCGCTGGAGAAGTAACTGAGAGCTTCATATCCTATCAAATGCTTATTTCAGTGATTCACTGTTTGAAGGGACATTGTGATGGTTTGAATGAGAATGGCTCGCACAGGTTCATGTATTTGAATGTTTGGTCCCATATTGGTAGAACTGTTTTGTAAAGGATTAGGAGTTAAGGTCTGGAGGAGAGGTGGGGGTGGGCTTTGAGGTTTCAAACCCCATACCCTCTCCAGCCTCTCTCTGTGTGTCTCATGCTGTGAATCAGATGAAACCTTTCAGCTGCTGTTTCAGAACTGTGCCTGCTTGCCTGCTGCTATGCTCACTGCCATGATGGTCATGGACTAATCCTCTGAACCAAAGTAAGCCCCCACATCAAATGCATTCTTCTCTACATGGCCGTGGTCAAGGTGCCTCTTCACAGCACAGAACAGCAAATAAAAGAGAAGTTGTGAATGGAATTTTATGTAAGAAGTGGGAAATAGTAAGAGCTAGAGGGAACGGGAACTCCACAAGCAGAGCAACAGAACAAGATAATTTGAACACAGGGAACTTCCCAGAGACTCCTACTCCAACCAAGGACTATTTGTGGAGATGACCTGGAACCCCTGCACAGGTGTAGCCCATGGCAGTTCAATGTCCAAGTGGGTTACATAGTAATGGGAAGAGGGACTGCCTCTGATATAATCTGATTGGCCTGCTCTTTGATCACTTCCCCCTGGGGGGGGAGCAGCCTTACCAGGCCACAGTAGAGGACAATGCAGCCACTTTTGATGAGAACTGATAGACTAAGATCAGAAAGAAGGAGAGGAGGACCTCCCCTATCAGTGGACTTGGGGAGTGGCATGCATGCAGAAAGGGGAGGGAGGGTGGGATTGGCAGGGGAGGAGGGAGGGGCTTATGGGGGGATACAAAATGAATAAAGTGTAATTAATAAAAAATAAATAAAAGATTAAAAAAAAAAAAAAAAAAAAAAAAAAAAAAAAAAAAAAAAAAAAAGAGAAGTTGTGCATCTTGGGGGGGAGCTGCAGCGGCGGGGTCATGACACAGCTAGCTATATGTTTCACAGGCAGTTAGAAAACAGGGAGAGATGCACACCAATGCTCCTCGTGTTTCCCCTTCTGTGTACTTCAGGGGCGACACACAGGGATGGTGTAGCGACATCCAAGATAAATGTTCCCTCCTCAGTTAGACTGCTTTGGAAATAATGCCAGAGATATGCCCAGAGGTGTGTCCTCCAGGTGATGATAAACTCCATCAAGTGGACAATCAAGATTAAACATTACTTTGTGAGGTTGACCCAAAGCACATCACTTTAAACTGTAATCCCCTAACCCCCAAACAAAGGCCTCAAAGGCCATGTGTTCCCAGGCCTTGGTGACTTTCTGTCTTCAGGTAACCTGTATTCTTGCAATGTGCAGGATGGTGTCCAATTCTTCAGCCAGCTGGAGATGTCCGTCAACACCTCTCACCTTTTACCGTAGCCTCTGTGCCTTGCTCATACATGGATGAGCTTAGAAAACCACTACCTGCTGAGGTAGGTTTTGTGCAAAGAACCCCAAAGTTCTATTCTCTGGTCAGTCTCTTTGCAGATATGAATTTGTAATTTTTTTATTCATTACAATTTAATCACTTTGTATCCTAGCTATAGGCTCCTCCCTCATCCCCTCCCAATTCTGCACTCCCTCCCTCTTCTCCTCACATGTCCCTTCCCCAGTCCACTGATAGGGGAGGTCCTCCTCCCTTTCCATCTGACCCTAGCCTATCAGGTCTCATCAGGAGTGGCTGCATTGTCTTCCTCTGTGGCCTGGTAATGCCCCACCCCACCCCCACACACCTCAGGGGGGAGGTGAACAAAGAGTCAGCCACTGAGTTCATGTCAAAGAGAGCCCCTGTTCCCCTTACTAGGAAGCCCACTTGGACAGTGAGCTGCCATGGGCTACATCTGTGCAGGGGTTCTAGGTTATCTCCATGCATGGTCCTGGGTTGGAGTATCAGTCTCAGAAAAGACCCCCGTGCCCAGAATTTTCGGTTCTGTTGCTCTCCTTGTGGAGCTCCAGTCCCTGGGTCTTTCTGTCTCCCTAATCTTTCATAAGATTCCCTGCACTCTGCCCAAAGTGTCTCTATGAATCTCAGCATCTACTCATGCTGGGTAGAGTCTTTCAGAGACCCTCTAGGGTAGGCTCCTGTCTTGTGCCTTGTTTTCACCTTCTTCTCATTTCTATCCCATTTGCCTTTCTGAATGAGGATCGAGCATCTTACCCAGGGTCCTCCTTGATTAGCTTCCTTAGGTATACAGGTTTTAGTATTTTTATCCTATATTATATGTCTAATATCCACTTATAAGTGAGTATATACCATGTGTGTCTTTCTGCTTCTGTGATAACTCACTCTAGATGATCTTTTCTAGTTCCCACCATTTCCCTGAAAATTTCATTATTTCTATGT